AGGATCCATTGTCCTTAGCGTTCATTCCTGTCCTTCCTCCCCCTCTCCACCTCTCTCTCTCTCTCTCTCTCTCTCTCTCTCTCTCCCTCCCCCTCCCTCTCCTCTTCATCACATATACGCACACGCTCTCTCCACGCGGACCATGTATTTTCATTGAAACTCCACCCACTGCAAAAGTACCATTGTTCGAATATTCAAAACGGAGACGTCCATTGTAGTACGTTAGAATGGGCACAATGTGGTTCCTGTGTCGTGGCGCGCGCGTGCTGCGACTTACAACTCGTCCCTTTAAATCCGCGCGCGGCCCGCGAGAATCAGGACGGGAGTGATAGGCGGTAAAGGATGGCGAAGGAGAGGAGAGAGGTTTGATTTGCTAAATAGGTATGCTTAACCTTCGACATGACCGAGGTATCGATCATCGTGGATCGTAACGATCGCCAGTGATACAGATCGAGGGAAGTAATCTCTCGAGCGAGGATAAACGCAGATGCCGGAGTCGAGAAGGATATCGGTGAAATTTGGGTTTCTTCAAACGACAATGAACGTGTTGTACGACATTAAAGTGGTCTTTTATTCATAAATCCTCGTCGTCGACGCAAATAACGCTGTGTGTACGGCAGGAAAGTAACACTGAATAAAGTCGTGTCGTAATGTGATTGAGGTAGACGGAAAATGAAAGTGTGAAGCGTATACGTACAACGTAATACTCTTTCTTTTAATATGATATGAATTTATATTTATATACATATGTACATACACATATATATATATATGTATGTATGTATATATATATATATGATAATCAGACAATAATATTAATAAAATAATAATAATTGCAATAATAATAGATATATATATTCTGTTTATATTCACATTCAGAACTATGTACAGTTTTTTAATTACTTTACATTCGAATTCGTACGAACAAGCGAATAAAACCTAGTAGTCGTAGTGTATATATCTGCGTCATTATTCCTGTACTATTCACAACAAATAGATTCTCTCACGAGGGTGCGACAATGTACACAAAACGTGCGTTATATTTATATTTTTATATATATAATTTTTTCATTTATTTACCGGTCCACCCACTTCTCTCTCTCTCTCTCTCTCTCTCTCTCCCTCTCTCTCTCTCTCTCTCTCTCTCTCTCCCTCTCTCTCTCTCTCTCGTTAACTATATCGCCCGCAAAGCGGCACATTCGATCCTCGTTTCGCGAGTCTACTTCTTCTGATTATTTACAAAAACGTTATCGTACCTATAATTATACTATGATATACGTGTCAACGAATGCACGAGCACCGACCGTCTTCTTCGTCAGAGTATACCGATACCGCAAACGCCTGGTACATGTATGTGTGTGTGTGTGTGTGCATGTGTATGTGTATGTGTATGTATGTGTGCTGCTTGTGTGTCATTTCTTTCCTTTTTTCCATAAACGGCAAAATCGCATGTACACATTCTATCGTTCTCTTTCTCTCTTTCTCTCTTTCTCTCTCTTTCGCTCTCCCGTTATCACAGATATAAATAAATGTATTCTTTACAAAACAATGTACAAGTTGCATTCGCACACTCTCAGACCGCCGACGACGACTCTCGCGCGCACTCTCGTTACTCCAAAGTACAAAATAATAGCTGATATTTTCTCCCGTGTTTTTTCACTTCCTTTTCTTTTCCCTTGCTCCGAAATGCGGCTCGAGTCCATCGTTTTGCGAACACATCGCGCGCCCCGCTTAATCATCACCGCCGATGAGTGCCGCTCTTCTCTTTAAAAGGAAGAGAGACTAGTCGCGCACGATATACATACACGTTTATATAAAAAAATATCAACAATTTCGAGCACCGTGCACTACCGCATTTCGATTCACGTGATCTCCCCGAGCGATACTTCCGCGCTGCAAAGCATGCACGAGGATATTTATGTCGTCACGTATGTGAATTCCGCGATTAGAGAGGAGCCAACGTCTTTAAAAGTGGAACATTGATTTGATCGCTTATTCGTCATGAAATCTGTAAAAAGTCCTTTATTAAACAATCATTTAGCAAAATTGCAGTTCTACGCACTCTAAACAACGATCGCTCAACATGGGATACCTCATGACACATTGCGCGAATTTGTGTGTCTCCATATTACTTTTATTACTTACTATCTTTATTCAACGAGGGAAGGGGGGGGGGGGATATCATCTATCTTTAGTTATAGAAATTTATTTCACAATCTCCAATCAGGTGACAGATAAAAACTTAGAAAAAAGAAAGTAAGAGCGCCGAGAGAGAAAACGAATGGGAATGAATGCCGATTTGACTTGAGATGCGCGAGTGCACGGCTCTGTCGCGCGCGAAAAGGGACGAATTTGATCCTCGTAGCAACACCACCGCGTTGTATCCTTGCCGTTGATAATAATTATTACGCGCGTAAGGGTTATACGCCAACTCTCCGCTCATGCGATCTTCCTTCCTTCCCTTCTCTCTCTCTCTCTCTCTCTCTCTCCCTCTCTCTCTCTTTCTCTCTCTCTCTCCCTCTCTCTCTCTCTCTCTCTCCTCTTCTTCCTATTATATTTATTCGTATTTATACTTATAATATAGTATACTCTGCGACGTGGGGATCTCTTTCTCTCTCTTTTTCCGCAGGGATTCTCTCGAGACGCCACCCCGATAAAATTTCGTGATGTAGTAGGTACAGCCTTAAGATCTACGGCCTAGAGTTAACTCGCGTGTCACCGTGTGCGTGCGTGTGTTTGTATGTCCCCGTGTGTATACGCGTGTGTACACGCGTGTGTACTCCTGTGTACGTGTGATGCGTAGGTGTGCATTATTTATCATTCCATCTCTATATGCGGGTATGTCGGGTATACGTTAATATTTCATTCGGATAGTTAAAGGAGTTAGTGGTAGTTTAAAGATAGTAGCTTTGTAGTGCGCTATGCGATCTGTCTTTCCCTTATTTTCGCCTTAAACCTACAACAGGTAGATCAAGTATCGCTCGCTCTGTCTCTCTCTCTCTCTCTCTCTCTCTTTCTCTCGTTCTTTCCACCTCTCGATGCTGGTAGTAACCGCGCTAACCTCGGACGACACATCTCGCTCGAGCCTGGCTCCGCGCCCCATTGAAACCACCCCGTCGAGCTACCACGAGCGATTTCGAGCGATGACCATTCGTTCTTAGGTGGCAGGTCCTTCGTTACTTCTCCCGTAACGAAGGAGCAGCGGTGCCCCGTTGGCGTGTTTGCTCGCTTGCACATTGCCCGTGAATTCGCAGTTGGTATCCGCTCGCGATCTCGGAAGAGGCGCGTCGTTTCGGTCCGGCCGGTCGACCCGACATTGATTCCGCGTCCCATCACGAAAGGAGCAAACAGATCCGAACAGATCGACCGGAGGTATAATAGGATCTCGAAAACGACTCACCTTTCCAGCGGATGTATCGTATACACATGTCTCGTGTAGGTGTGTAGGTGTGTAGTGCGTGTGTAGTGCGCGCGCGTGCACGATCTCTGATGGCGTTGCGACGTCGTCAGCGCAGATTCTCAAAGCGCGTTCGACGCTTTTCTATTTACAGAACCGAGGATTTTCCTACGCGTGCGTTCTGAAACTTGTATCTTACCGAAGATACCGATAATCGAATCGAATGGAGTCTCGACGGAAAAGAAAGGGAAAAAAGAAAAATTAACCTCTGAATCCGTGAGCCACTTAAACTCGAGGGGTCCAACCTAAACCTAAACACAACTAGGTTGTACATTTCACCGTTGTAAGCGCAATTCAACGTGTGCGACGTACAACCAACATTTTTGGCGCGTTACAGTAACGAATAAACACGCTTTTCGCACTCAAAAAGGGTCAGAAACTACTCGCGACATTGCTGTAGATGGTACCGTATTTTGCGTACGTGGAAAAAAATATTCGCTAAAGAAATTAGGATTTCTGATTTTTCCCGGAGCCGAAATTTGTCTCATAAAAGTCGGACTCCTGCCGCCAAAATACGTTTGGCTCGTTTATTCATTCGACCACTCTTGTCGCTCCGTGCGTATGCGTTTTGTATCTATCTATGTATGTATGTATGTATGTATGTATGTATGTATGTATGTATGTATGTATGTATGTATGTATGTATCTATGTATGTATGTATGTATGTATGTATGTATGTATGTATGTATATATGTATATGTATATACGCATGCATGCGTGGAAACGATGCACCGGTGGTACCCGGGCATCGAAAATCGTCGATGGAGAGATCGTTTCACCTCTCTCTCTCTCCCTCTCCCTCTCTTTCTCTCTCTCTCTCTCTCTCTCCCTCTCTTTCTCGACCCGGGTGTAACCGAAAACGTTTACCTCCACCTGAGCGTGCCTCGGCGACAAGGTGAACCCGCGCGTCGCTGCTTGCGCTTCTCCTCGCCGTCGTTCCTCCTAGAGAGAGCGAGCGTCGGCGAGCACGGTGGTCGATGCGGTTACGGTAACCAGTAACCGATCAAAAATAGCGGCCGTGCTCTCTCCGCTACGCTCGGTCGCGACAGGCGTACCGAGAGAGGTGCTCGCGCGTTGGACATAAATTCTCCCGCGGTGCGATATATATCCCCCATTCTCTCTCTCTCTCTCTCTCTCTCTCTCTCTCTCTCTCCTCTGGTACAGCCGAGCTCGCGATGTCGTCTCGCCGTACGTAGCCGTGCGTAAGCAGGCACTTTGACGTAATTCTCCTAATTCCTAAATCTCCCCTAAGCCGTTGCCGCTGCTGCCGCCGCCGCCTCCTCCTCCTCCTCCCGTGCGCTCGCACACTCTCGCACCCCTTGCGCGCGTGCGCTCACTCTATCCGCCTCATACGTCTTCTCCCAGTCGCGTTTCCTTCTAGAGGAACGATTTATGTATCTCGAAGAGTCAACTGCCCTCCGACCGCCATGCCCTCCGACCGCCACCCGCCCACCCTTCTCCCCAACCCTTTCTACTCTTTTCTCTACTCGCTCTTTCCTTTCCCCTTTCTTTCTCTCTCTCTCTCTCTCTCTCTCTCTCTCTCTCTCTCTCTCTTTCTTTCACCCGCTAGTGTTTCGCGCTTCCTTCTTTCTTTCCATCTGACACGAGGTCGAGATAACGCTAATAAATCTCGAGACCACTCAGGAGTGTGTATTTACAGTCCAGTTGCAGGACTCCCTTCGCAGGACCTCTCCTCTCAACAGCGCCGCCTCGTCCTGCAACAGAGAAATGGAAATGATCTTAGATCAGCCGCCGGTCTCGGTGTGTCCTTTTTGTCGTTTCACGAGGGTGGAGACACGTTTCAACATGACGCTCGCATGTCAGGCACGTCGTGTATACCTGAAGATATTATTAGACACGTGCGTATCCCGTTTTCCGCGCGCCTGTACGATTAACGACGCACGCGCATGTCGCCGTCGCGTTTAGCAGCTCCCCGACCCGCCCTAATGATTCGCCAAGACCAAAGTGCTTACGGATTATCGGCGTACGCGCGCGCTCAATTGCAGTCCGCTCCTGCAAAAATTGCCGGCTCGATAAGGTCACGACAATTGCAGCCAGCCAGCCAGCCAGCCAGCCAGCAATTACAACCCGTTCGACGAGCAACGTGGCTGATTACGACCGGTTTCATCAACAGTCCGCGATACCCGCGAAAATGATATTTGTAAACTCGTAAGCGAAACCGTTAACGCGCTCTCGTGCCATTTTCTACCAACGTCCATTAAACGTTCCCGAGTTGGTCCCAAAAGTTTCGCTCCAAATAAGGCTTCAATTTGGGGTTAAGGTTGAAACGAGCGCCCGTGCGTTTCTCAGTTGACTCAGCGACCTATTGTTGCGCTCTCGCGATCAGCGTATCTTGCACGCACGCACACACACAGAACGTGTGGTGAACGTGTCGATTGGTACGCCGAATATATAAATTTTCCAGCGGCGTCGCCGCAATTGGTCACATCGAGTTCTACAAACCCGCTCTTTGTGTATCGCGCACGCCATTTTTGCGCGGCTCGACCCGTTGTCGGCGGATAATTGTTGTCCGGCGTGATACCGCGACAGCGATTGTCACTGTTAATAAACGATAAAGCACCACGTGCCGCACGAGATAAAAGGCGATCGTTATGCAAAACACGCCACTCAGCCGGGCCATTAGTGGCGCGTGTATCGCTGTCTCTCTCTCTCTCTCTCTCTCTCTCTCTTTCTCTCTCTCTCTCTCTCTCTCCGCTCGCTCGCGGAGCGCACGAGGCACTTACACAGGCCGTAAACTATTCGCCGCAATTGTGTCGACTGTTTTCGCGTGGCGCATTAGGCAGGAAGGCGATCCTGACGCGCGCGAGTTTTATGCGAGAGAAACGAAACCCCCCGCGGAATCGACAGAGCCGAGTAAATCCGAGTCCGAGTCTCTCCGCGACGGAGGAGGAGGACGACGACGACGACGACGACGACGACGACTGCGAGTTATCTCTTAATGGACGAAAAGAGTTTGATTTAATCGCACGTTCTCTGTTAACACTCGCGACGACAAGCGATTTCCATTTCCGAAGCCGATAAAATTAGCGCGATCCGAATCGCTCGCGGAGAACCTGCGCGCGACGGCCATTAGCGGCCTCGCGACATGTGTATACGTTCCCGTGTATTGCGCGTATCGATTCCACAGGTTACCACATCTCTTCCGGTGAACAACAAGTTTGCGATATGCGCGCTGCAGTGCAATTGCGTCGTATGAACGATAGGCGCGCGGCCCCACTCGTCTTCTTTGCCTGTTTGTTCGCGCTGTTTATGAGGATCGCGTTGAAATAATCGTTAGTCACGATTTCCAAGCGCGATCTTAGTCGAGACTCGACCGATGCTGTCACACATACGTGCGTGCGTGCGTGCGTGCGTGCGTGCGTCTGCCCTCTCTGAAGAAGCTTCTCGAAAGCGAGAAACGTTTTTCGCTCTCGGTCGCGTCGAACAGCGTCGCCGGCAACGTGCGCGATCGATGGACGCATAAGTCCCGCAGCATCGCGTGAATAAACCATAGGGATACGAGCATGCAAATCGATATGAAACGAGCAGAGATCCTTTTCGCTTGCTTTCGCTGGGGGAGGGGGGAGGGGCTTTTATAGCAGCAGACACGCGTTGTCTTGAGAAATGTAAAACTCGAAATTCCGAAAGTGGGGCGCGGTTTCCTGAAATCCAAGTACCGAGGAAGCACAACTTTCCTGAAACGCTGGGAGCATACAACTGTCCCGTAAAGTTGCGACACCGCGAGATCAGCGCAACGCGACTGTAATGTACTGAAAGTTATTCTTATTATTATTATTATTATTATTATTTTGGGAAAGCCGTATTTCCCAGCGACGAATTCCGACGCGCTTTCCGACTTCGGTATGCTTTGCTTTTTCCGTACGTTTTGCTTTTCCGCGCTACGTTTCGCCAGGATGATGCCAGTATTCGCCTTCTACGCGCTCGTTCTCTCGTCGAATAGATCGAATAGATGATTAAGAGGAATTACGAGGAAGTTTGCATCCCCGACTCACCGCTGCCGTCCGAAAGCGTTACGCGCAAAGCGCACGCGAGTGACGCTGATCGATGCACGACGCATCGCCGGCGATACCTTCGAATCAGCCGTGTTTCGCCGAACAATTATGCGGACACGGGCGCGCACGATGATGCGCGATAACGCCGGCAGGGGGATTTCCGCGCTGCGCGATTAAACGGCACGCCAATATCCATTTGACGCCGACGTTTCGGGAACGACGGCCTCGCGCAGCGGACTCGCAGCAGCAGTCCGGCGAATATTTCGAAACGCCACTGTCCGTAGCACAGCAAGGGCGGCCTGTCTGTGTCTGTTTGTGTTCCGTCGTGCTCCTCTTTCTCTCCCCTATATCACCGTCCGTTCGTTCGCTCTTTCGTTCGTTCTTTCTTTCTTTCTTTCTTTCTTTCTTTCCCTCTCGCTCGCTGAGTCTCGTTCCACGTTCGCCGGACTGCGACGAAATGACGCCGCGTCGCTCCGGATGACAAATGCCCCGCGATTATGCGGCAAGTCGTTTGGAAAGTTCTGCCGTGTGACATCTGGATGTTACACCGCCGGTTTCCAGCGGGAGCATCGCCGGCAATAAACATTTACGATTATCATTTGCGGCGCGGCGCGCCGCGCGCCGCGCGCCGCTCGCGACTCGCGTCCCCGTTTCTGCGTGCGCATTGTTACGAAACTCCTAGCGATCTATCTGGACGATAAAAAACGGGCTCACGGCGGGGCGTGCGCGCACACTGCCGTGCACCGTACGTACATGTTTATCGCCATTATTATTATCGACGTCGGCTGATCTCTCGCCGGCTTTTATTCGATAATGCGGAAGGGAAGGCAGCGCGCGATCGCGAAACTCGGCGAGCGCGCGTGCAAGCAGTGACGCACCGAGGAAACTATTTCGCCTTGGGTATCGGAGAGACGTTGGCGCAAGATGACAAACTTCCTCCTTCGAACTCGGAACTTTAAATGTAAAAGAACGGGAGACAGTGTAATTGCTCAATCATCATCTCTCTCTCTCTCTCTCTCTCCCTCTCGCGAGCGAGCGCGCGCGCGCGCGCGCGACTCAAAATCGCTCGTTAACTCGAAGCCGGCCGGACGGACAGACGGACGCGCGGGGCGAAGGAGGTGTCTTTTCTTTTTATAAACGCGAGGCTACTTACATCCGTTGTCCATTCCTCGACGACTGACCCCTCGTAGAAACCTGTTTATCCATTCTCCACTATCTCTAACGGATGTCCCGAAAGCAACGTTATGAAACATCAAGTACCGCGGGGTAAAACCATCGGGCTCTCTATTCTCACTCGGCTATCGCAATCGAACCTTTCGAATTCTCGTTCTCCGGTGATTTATAAGCCGGCGGAGTGATTATATCCGAATAATTTCCCCGCGCGCGCGCGCGCGCGCGCGATAAATTTGCGCTCAATGGCCGCTCGTCGAAGGATACTACGAAGCGCGCGAGCGGATTCGGATTAAGATCTCAGTCGCGCGACGTTCATTCTCGCGGCCGCAATGAGCTACGCGGCCGGGGACGGTAATTTATTTACAATCGCGGCGAGAATCGTGCCGATTACGACGACAACTTCACTGCCGCTCTTTCTCTCTTCTCTCGGCTAAGCGACGTGACGTCGTAATTTAACGCGAGAGAGACCAAGAGAGAGAGGATTCTCGCCGGGAAGATCTCGGCTCTCGGCGTCGATCTCAACGCGCGATATTGTGCGCTTTATAGAACAAGGCTCTCCAAGGAGGAGAGAGGGGAAGAGAGAGAGAGAGAGGGAGAGAGACAACGCGCGCGGTGGGCGACGAAATCCGCGAGGCGACGCGCGACGCAAGCGCCGTAAACGCGAATTTCATCGCTCGAATTCCCATCCAGTTGATCCCCGGATATCGCCGCCGCGCGCGCTCTGTAATACCAATGTGCCATCGTGTAATTATTACGCTGGTCTCGCGTGGCCGGCACCGGGTAACTTGCATAATGCAGAAGACAGCCCCGGCCGGGTCAAATTATAAACATCAAACAATCATTAATTCAACGAAAGCACCGGTTGCCGGGGAATTTTAATAATAACTCGTGTGTGCTGTGATAGCGCGCAGCTCGCCTTACATTATACCCGGGACTTTTACCTCTTGGCGAAGGAGGCAAAACATTCCGCGCGCGTAATCGATGCGAATTATATTTCCTTGGGAACTCGGGTGCGCCGCGCGGTCGTGGCGACGCCGGCGCGCGCGCGCGCGCGCACATGCGCCTCCATAATGATTTAATTATAACGTGCGCTCGCCCACGGCGAGCGGGGGGGGGGGCGGGAGGAGGAAGATTCTGTTTATTTTATAACTTTATTAATAATCGTCCGCTAAGTGTACGCACGAATCACCGCGCTGTTTACACGCTGATGGCGTAAGGGCGTAAGGATAACAAGCTGGCGCGGCCCTTCGACCGCGCATCAGTTCCTCCACGAGCCTGGTACGATCATCATCGTACCGAAGCGAACGGCCGATTAAGCAGCGAACTCGCAGCGCACGAGAGCGTCATTTTTTTCTTTTTCTTTAATAAACCGAGATAGCATCTCCTAACTGTCTATCTATCCGGTTTTAGAATCAACGCTAGTCGGCTCGGCTCGCGGACGCCGGAGAGCGGCGCGCGCCTCTCGCTCTCGCTCGCCGTCGGAGCTGCATTTTTATTACCAATCGATAACATTTGCATCCGCGCTAGCGCGCTCCGAGTCACGAAATTGTGAGTGATAGCGACACGCTTCGCCTCGTCTGTCGTTAGGTCTCTCGAGAGCGAGCGAGCGAGAGAGAGAGAGAGAGAGAGAGAGAGAATATGCGAACGGGATACGTGTTCCTCTCTCTTTCTTTGCTTCTCTTTCTCAGGTGGGCGCTCTCCGATTACTCCCAGGTAGCAACGGAGAAGAAGCCGTCTAGCGCGCATCCGAGTACGCGCGAATCCGGGCTACCGTTTCGACCCTGAGGACTCCTCTCTCACGATTTACGCGCGCCGGCCGTTACGCGTGATAAACACTCGGAGCGGCGTGAACTCGCGTCCCGAAAATAGAGGTCGAGGACAAAGAAGGACACACGGTATGCATATGCGCGACGAGCAGCCGGCGGCGTGTGTCGCCCGACGAAACACAAGCAAAGGCCGGGAATTCCAGAAACGCGCGCGTTTCTCAAAGAAGCACCGGCTACGGTAGACCTTCTTCGAGATCTCTCTCGAAGAGAAGAGAAAAACAGAAAGGGAGAAGGAGGAGGAGGAGGAGGAGGAGAAGGCGGAGGGGAGGGTAGAGGCAAGAGAGAGAGAGAGAGAGAGAGAGAGAGAGAGAGAGAGAGAGAGAGAGAGAATGAGCGCGCGAGAGGAAGAGACGAAAAAGAGACGCGGGAAACCGCGACGACGTGTTCGAGGATTTATTAAGGAGACACCTGAATCCCCCGTCTGGAATCTTGAAGCCGTTAAAAAGATCGCCTATCCTCTCGCCTGCGAGGCGAACCATGAGTGCGCACGGTGGTCTCGAATTTTATGCAGATGCCGTGAGATCGTGTAAATATCCGGCTAGTCAGGAGGCGACGATAGTTAGAAAGCGGGTTCCGGTCCGAGGGACCAACCGGCCAGACTCAGAGTCCTCACCTCCGGCAGCCATCTTAATGGCAATTAAACATCTGCGCGCTAATTGGCAATTAAAGGGCACGAGAGAGTGTCATCGGCAGTGCGTCGTTGCTTTCCTCGCGAAAGCTCTCCTCTGCGTGCTCTGTTTTTCTCCGTCTCTCTTCTCTTTCCGCTCTCGGCGATGACGGTAAAAGAGAAAAGAGGAGAAGAGAGCGGATCGGGTCTATCTGGTGGTAGGTGCTACAAAAGGCACTGTCTCGCGCGACCTGCGCGACTCACACTCTCTCGTATACCTGTCCGCTGCCTGGCTGCGCGCGACAGGAAAGGCGAAGAGGGAGAGGCAAAGATCGAGAGATGGTCCGAATGGAGCGGGTGCTGGAGTCAGGATGCAAGGAGAAGAGAGAAGAGGAGAGAAGTGCGAGAGGGGAGCAGAGAGTAGCACTATAAGCGCGTCCGAGTTGCGAACGCACGAACGCGGTATATAGTATACACATAGACACACACACACACACACACATAGCGCAGGAGAGAGGAGGAGGTGAGGTGACGACAGCGAAAACTAGTTTATTTGGAACGCGGCTATAAATTAGGATCAGATCGCTACGAGATAAGGGAATACGGGCTAACACCCGGTTCCCTCCGAAAAGACGATCCCCTCTCCCTCGCACTCCACCTCACCCCTTTTTAACTCATCCTCTCCTGCGCTCCCCTCGCCGTCTTTCTACTCACATCCGTCGTGGCATCCTACAAAGACAACGACGACGGATGCGTCGCAGCCGATACGTTCGCATCGGCCTGACCGGCGATCCTTTCTCTCTGTCTCTCTCTCTCTGTCTCTCTCTCTCTCTCTCTCTCTCTCTCTGTCCTTCTCTCGGGTCCTCCTCATCGCCACCTCCTTCGTAGTGACGAACACTCCGGAGGTTGATCTTGTACCTCACGTTTCCCGTTTCGCCGTCCGACGTGTTCTCGAGTTACGTCTCGCGTTTTCCCTTTGTGACCGACCATCACCTGGTTTATCAATGATTACGCTCGACCCAGCGATAATGACGTCACAGCTACTCCATCGATTCGTTCGACAATGTTGCAGCAAGGTGACATTAGAAACGCGAGAACGCGCGTTCTCGGCTTTCGTCTTATCCATACGTTGACGTTAAAAGCTGATACGCACTTTCTCTGGCCGCCGCCGATAGTTTCGATCTTGTCGAGCGAATTCCCATCGCCATTGGACGCAGACACGGCAGGGAAGGATTCGAGAGTAACCCGCACTTGGCTCCAGCCGTTCTCTCACCTCAGCCCTCTCTCGTCGGCCATGGAGGGCTGAGGGGACGGGGGGAAAGCGGGAAATGTATTTTCGCGAAGAGAGCGATCCAGCTCCTTTACGATTTCGACGAATCAGATAACCCTTCAAGGACTCGTGCTCGCATCGCGACGTTACGGATACCTCCACCTCTTCTTCTTCCTTCAGCTCCACCGTCTCCTCGGCGAGACTCGGCGAGGTGGAGAAGAATGGTGCGGAACGGCGAGGGGGTAAGCCCTGGAGATGAATCCCGCGAATCGTTTGTAGAGAAACGAGAGAACAGCCATTTAGACACCCTCCTTTTATCCACGGCCGCGAATGAGACGGAGATTCCTCAGCGTTCCCAAGACGCTTTAGCGATCGCCTTGACTCTATCGCGGATAACCGCTTTTCTATCTTTCGCGCCAATACGAATCGCTCGCTCGCGAGTCGCATACGTAACGCGCGCTTTCTTTCTTCCTGCCCCGTCTACGCGATTGTTTCGTCCCCCCCGCCTGATCCGCAAACTCGTCCGCAAACAATTTCAAGTTTCGCGCTTGCTTTCGGGAGCAATGGCCAATTCTTTCCTCGCAATCCCTCTATAATTGGCACAATAATTCACGCGTAATTCTGCATCGCGCGCGCGCGCGCGCGCGCTCGAGACAAATCTCCGTGAATCGCTCATCCGTGATGCGACGTGTGTAATTTCCATGGAATTTACGAGAGAACACTATTCCTCTTACGACGCTGCCGGAGGTATCCATCTTGAGGTTAATCCGGGACCCGCTAGTAAGGAGATCTCGCTCTCGGGAGAGAGGAGCTAAACGCGAGACTGGACCAAAGTCGTCCGTTCGGTCACCAACGCGACAGGTTGAGGTTGAGGTGTGTCCGGGTATATACGGTGTCCCAACACACGCGGTTCGTGCGCCCATACACCCAGACGGACGCACGTGAAGAGAAAAGAAGAAAAAAAGGAAGGAAAGAAAAAAAGAGAACTCACGGGGCCGACTGACTGGTGTGGTAAGAGAAAGACGCGGTTAGCCAGTGGTGATTCCATTCACTGATTGAAATCTCCGTCCATTTGTCACTGTCAAGGAGGTGGCGATAGCTTCTTTCTCCCTATTTCTCTCGCCGTCTCTCGGATCGTCTCACTCACTCTCTCTCTCTCTCTCTCTCTCTCTCTCTCTCTCTCTCTCTCTCTCGCTCTCTCTCTCTCTCTCTCTCTCCCTCTCTCCCTCTCTCTGTCTCTCTTTCTCTGCTTCACACGTCGCCTAAACATCATGGTAGACCGACCGAGTGGCCGCGTGTTACTCGAAATGTACGATGTCCATTATTATTTCAACTCGGGTCGCCAGGCCTTAACGACCAATCGACGCGTTGGATATTAATTTCTTATCGATTGTCCGAGGCGCGAGGGTCGCGAGAGAGTTCGGCAGAAAACGGAGCGACGCCGGTTTCGGCCTCGCGCCGCGCGCGGGCACCGTTCGCCGTTCGCGCAAGCGAATCCTTGTATCGATTTTCGTGCCGATAAGCCGCTCATGTACCGTTGCTTCGGACAACTTACCTTTTCTGACCCCTCCCTCCCGCTCGTGCGTCCGGGCCCCCAGCGGGTCGCACCGTCGACAGTACGTCTCTCGTCGAGACTTTTTGTAGGCCGAAAGTAAATTACGAGCATCATCGCTCGACGTAGATATTAACGCAACTGTGATTATATATATATATATATATATATATCGCGAACGACCCGGAATCTCTAGAGTCAATTTCTCCACGACAGAAATCGCTCTGTCGAATATATCCTGCGCGATTATACGCATCATTGTTATATTCGTGCACGTGTGCGAGTAGTGACGTTGCGAAAAAGAAACGGGTAAAAAAAGCAGTAGTGACGTTGCGAAAAAAAAAACAGGTAAAAAGAAGAAGAAAAGGAAGAGGACAAAAAGGTTGAAAGTAAAAAATGGAAATACACGAGCGAAAGAACAAATAGACATGATCGTGGGACTTACATTTTAAAAGAAAAATGACTGTCATGCTGGATGCTTCGCGATGGCTGCTTAAACTGGCGACACGAAGCCGCTGCCCATCGACTGCGAGCTGTAACAAAAGACAGGCACGTTCACACATTTTTGAATCGCTTTTTCAAACTGTTCGAAGCAACAACGCATTCTCAGCTTCGCGACAAATTTACAAATTATCACTCGCTTCGACCACCAGTTGACAGCGACTACGACTCGCGTTTCCCGAATCGTATGGACGTACGCGAACAATAATTATCAGACCACATTTTCTACTCACCCTTTGTAGAAGGGTTTGAACGCAGTGGTAGCTTCCGTAGGCGGCAAGCTGGCAGTGGTTTGATGCTGATGCAGAATAGAATTCTGTCCGACTGGCGAGAAGTCCTTGTGCGGCGAGCTCTGCAGCCGTGAGCTGAAAGACGACGCGCTACTGGCCGAGCCCGAGCTCGTCGACAGGTAACCGCCACCACCGCCGGGGTGACTCGCCCCGTAGGGATTGGGATTGCCGTTAGTCGCGGTATTGGCATTGCCACCAGGGCAGTAAGCACCCGGCGGTGGTTGGATCACTCCGTTCGGCGTGGCCACTTTCATATTGGGTGGCGTCTGTGGTGGAGTGTCCGTGCCAACCTCGGGAAACCCCGCCGCTGCCGAGGAGGACGCGCTTGAGCTGGAGCCCGACGACGAATTGTTGTAATGCAGCTGACCACCGGATGAGGACGAAAGGAAACCGCCGTATCTCACAGCGGCGCTCGAATAGGGCGTCGTCGCTGCCGCGGAAGGGCTCATACCCGCCGACGAGGGTAGAGCGAACGAACTTAAGCTTCCTCCTCCAGCACTAGCACCACCACCACCACCACCACCACCACCACCACCACCACCACCACCACCACCACCAGCAACACCCGCTGCTCCCGTCGCACCGAGCCACGCTTGTTGGGAGTGGTGATGGTGTCCTTGATTAGGTATATGGTGTTGTTGTTGCTGTGGATAATGCTGCTGATGATGCAGGTGGTGGTATTGTTGTTGATGGGGATGCGAAGACGGTGGTGGCGTCTTACACGCCGCGGTGTCTGCCAACGACCAGATTTTGGGTTTCGTCGCCGGGATCGGTACGCCACCGGCGCTACAGTCCTGTTTGATCCCTTCTTCTTTCATATGTTCCTCACCGCCGTAACCCTGATGATGATGATGATGATGTTGCATCGTATGGTGAAAGGGATGCTCGCTCCGTCGACGATCGTCCTCGAGATCGAGATCGTCCTCGTCGTCGAGATCTTTCTCGTGCTGCATGAGCTCCGCCTTCACGTGCCTCATCGGCTCTGGAAGCAGTCGGGGAAAAATTATTTTTAGACTTACGAACCGGCTCGACTGCAAAAACATCGAGATTGATATGTTGAACCTTATGCGATTAATTTAGACTAACGTGTAAAGAACGTAGCCGTTATAAATGAATATCATTAAATGCTGAACTATTTCCTCTGTATTAAATATACTTGGCCCGTGTAACTATGTTATCTAAAGACTGAAAACTCGATTGTAGAAATGGAAAAAATTCCTGTTTCTAAAGCAGGGTTTTATATCCAGTCAACTGTTCGATAATATTAACCCAGTTTCACGGCAGTCGAATGTTCAGACAAATATTCTCGGCCACGGTAAAAGAGAAATTGTTTCTGTGACATGCTTTTTTCGTCTGACCCCCAGTTAGTCAGCTAGCCCAGAGCATGGACAGAGCTTTCTTCCTTATTTACTGAAAACTATATTATGTATCGATATATATTTTAGTGAGGGTCACGCGACGTTTGTCACACGCGCGCGTCGGGGAATATCTCGCGAAAGTGAAAGCGGCTGCACGAGAAATATAGGCATTAATGGTTTATAATGTCCTGAGAGAGTGCGAGAGTGAGACGTGGAATGCGAGTCATCGTGACGGGATTCCAACGGCGTGGAGGGTCGTCGAGCGTCGGTGGTGACGATGGTGGTGGTGGAGATACGGATATCTCCCTTACGCCCTTATACAGTTAAGCTGTAAGGGATGCTGTGAAAAAAGGGAGCGAAGCCTTCAACCACTTTGGGGCGCGAGAGATTTCAGTTTTCCCTTTGGGGTAGCCGAGTGGGGACACGCGAACGAAAGGACAGGAGGGTGGTCGGCAAGGAGAGTGAAAGAGAGAGAAAGGGAAGCATATCCTTTTCCTTTTTCTCTGATCTCCCCGTCCCGTCGTCTCTCTTTCTCTTTCTCTCTCCCGGGGCACTCCAGGATCGTCCCAACCGTCTGCCAGCCAGCCAGCCAGCCAGCCAGCCAGCTAGGCATCCACCGAGCCGAGCCGAACCGAGCCAAGCCAGCCAGTCAGTCAGGGGTGAGAATTTCATTAAGAGGTTCGAATGTGTCGGCAGAGGGTTTACTTGATGGGTCGTCAAGCGATAATTCCCAAGCTCGAAGGGCGTGCTGCTACACTCTGGAGTGTAAGAGAGACGTAGAGAGGTTGATAGACAAAGAGAGAGTTGAGGAGAGAAAGAGAGAGAGAGAGAGAGAGAGAGAGAGAGAGGGAGGGAGAGAGAGAGAAGGAGAGGAAAAGAGAGTTTCGGTTTAGGGCGTCCGCACCCCTTTATAAAGGGAACCTTATGGGCCAACTAAATAGATACTACCGTCGAGTCCACAAGTGGCTCTTTAACTTTTGACCCTCTTTTATCAGACGTTAATCTCATAATCTTGGCGCCGCGTAGGTGGCTTCGTGTTTGAATCGAATAACTAAATTGTATCGGACTCAGGTTTACGGGTCAGGTCGTTGGCCGTTTCACATAAATCACGAGAGTGCGTAATACAGTGTCCTCTCCGTTCCAGTGTTACATATACTTACACAATTACGCGGAAGAAACCGAAGAACTCTCAGCCGTACGTCTGACTTTACGTAACAATGGCGAGTTCCACAAACGGGGAATTTGAATGTATATCCTACATGAATACGAATATTTCAATCCGCGCGCGCATATAGATAGCTGACAGTTCCGGCGACCTATGTTTCTCAGGCTCGGCGTAGAAATTCATGAGCGCCGAAAGTTCCCCCTTGAATTTCCAAGGGTCACCCGGCATAGCGAGAGCGAAGGCACGAGTGTGTGTGCGTATCCGCCATACACCCACACGTATACATACACAAACGACAAAGTATGTCCGTACACTTTTACCATACCGCGGTCTTTATCGTCATAGAAAACGGCCAGGAGCGACGAAATTTTCCAACCGAGACCACCGGCGGCGCGACTCCTCTTTGCGCGCGCGCGCAATGAGTGATCTCGCGAGGAAAGCGGCGGCGCGGCGAATCAATTGCCCGCCGCTCTTCTCTTTCTCGTCTTCGCGCTCTTTCCCAGCTGGCGCACCTCGTCGGGGTAGTGCGCTCACCCCCCACCACCACCATCACCATCACCATCACCAACACCGACACCATCATCGCCGCCACTCGCCGCCGGTCTTTTCGAAATTACGAGCCATTGCAGGACGCGTGACGCAGCGCGGACAGGACCTAAATATCCCGAATCGGCCAGAGACCAGGACGACGAATGAGTGAAACGAGAAGGTGCGCGGCACACAGGGACAGAGGGAGGAGGGACGGAGGAGCGAGAGGAATAGAGTGCGGGAGAGGAAGAGAGAAGCCGATATTGGCCAATGTGCGGTGGGGTAATGGTGGCCATAGGAGGGTCCGTACCATTCGTCTCGCCGCGGGCGCCGATACATCACCGTACCTCGAATCAGCGTTCTCTCCGTGTGTATCTATATACATTCGTATACATATGTATATATATATACACACATGTACATGTATATACGCACGTATATGTTAATATGTGTGTTTGTGTCTATATATTTATATATATATATATATATATAAACCTTGTGGCACACGGAGTGTATATGGTCCTACGGATGGCTACTCAGCCTGGGCGCACCCTCTCCCTCTCGCTCTCCCAACACGCATACAATTACGCGCTTCTCTGTCTCTCTGTCTCTCTCTCTCTCTCTCTCTCTCTCTCTCTCAGATCCGCGAGAGCGTGTACACTCCCACACGCTCGCCGAGCTCTCACGGGCAGCCCGTTCCAGAGCCCAGAGTACCAATACCAACGGCGTGGCCCGGTCCACCGGGGGGACCAAACCGAAGGCTATTAATCTCTTCGCGCGGCAACCCGCAACCCGTCACTGTGTTTACCCACATGTGAACCATTATGTCCGCCTCCGCGATATAGAACCTGGCATCGCGCGCGGCGCCGCGCCGCGCCAGTTCGCCGCGAATTCCTAACTCGCCATTTCCGGCCGGCGCGCGCGCGCGAAGAAGCCCCGCTGAACCGCAAAATCTCCGAGCCCGGCGTGGAATTCCCGTATCCTTAATGAACGCGTGTCACACATTCGCCCACGACGGAATCAAGAACGCCGCGGCGTATCCCACATTGTGGGATGTCGCTCGGTCGTAAAATTCGCGGTCGATTCGGGGTCCCGCGGTAGCTCGTGAGACTGCAGGTAATTGCAGGACGTCTGGGACTAAAAGCCCGGCAAAATCGATCGAGAGATAGACCCGCGCAGAAATTTCTCAAGATTCTCTCACACACGGCGCAGCTTCTACTCAGCGTGTATAAATTTGTTCCGGAATTAGTAGTTGTTCCAATCGATGGTCCCATTTTTGCTCTCAGCGTGAGTTTCTTGTCTATATAATACAGTCGAAGAGCAAAGATATGGAGAGATACGCGCTGTTTCTTCCGATGAATGAAAATCGGCGTTACTTTTATGAAATTGTCCTTTCACGCCAATTGTTGTATTCGAGGGGGGAAAATGGAAAACCACCGAAGTATTTGTTGTGTCCTCACAGTGGGATATTTCCGCGCACGATTGCAAACTATATGAAGACGAGAAAGGCTCGAAAGGAGCCATCAGAGCGCGATTCAGAGTCGCGAGTAAAGCCGCGCAAGTCCCGTTCTCACTGCGAGCGAAATGCATGCTCGTGCAGTACGAGAAACGCCGGTCGATATGGCTATTCGATGTCGGGGAAACTAGTCACGCGAGGTAAACACGCCATGGACATTCTTAGTCGAAGAGATCGCTTCGCCGGAGCCACCTTCGCGAAGCGATTCCGGTGATTTCGACCGACGATATCTCTCGCGATACCGAGAATCGCACGTTGCCGATGATAGAAATTTAGCGATAGCCCCGCCGCCGGCCGGTTATGCATGGCGGTGTGTCGCCATGCCGTTTTCTTCAGACCATCCTCGAAAAAACAAAAAAAGAAAGAAAGACGAAGACCACCTCGAACCACATCGGCATTACCCGTTTCGCAACTCAATGTTGCAACGTTAATGGACACGCCTCTAGTTTAATCCGCTTTCGTAGTTTGTAGTCTCGTTAACGGCGCGAACGCGAGGCTGCGATTTCGCGTGCTAACGTCGCGCGGCTCGCCCGCGCAATTTTCTACGGGCAATTTTCTAAATCGTTCCCGCAGATAGCGCGGATACACGAATACGGTTCGCGGTATCTGGCGGCAGCATCACGTCGCATAATAAATTCCGTCTCGCTGTCGGGGGGGTTGCACAAGTGTTGCACTCGAGTATCGTGTGCGTTGCGCGCGGGGGAGGAGAGGAGGAAGAAAAAGCTCACCAGTGTCGTCGAGGCCGCGTCTCGCCTCTTCGCCAACTCTGTCGCCTCTATTGTCCGTCGCGAGGTCGTCCTTTTCCTTGTTATCCTCGGAATCGGTGAGCACCGCGTCGTCGTCGTCGTCCGTCTTGTTCTTCGGCTCCCAGGTCATTTTGTTCTCCTTCTTGAGACGTCTCCGCGCGTTCGCGAACCAAGTGGAGACTTGCGTCAGCGTCATCTTCGTGATGATAGCCAGCATAATCTTCTCGCCTTTCGTCGGGTACGGGTTCTTCTTGTGCTCATTCAGCCAAGCCTTCAAGGTTGCCGTCGACTCCCTCGTGGCATTCTTCCGCCGCGCCGCCAGGTCGTAGCCGGCGCCGTACCTGAAAAAGACAACACGACGGCCCACAATGAGACTGGCCCTGAGAAATTCCACGGGAATTTCGTTACGCGCGAATTAACACAGCCGCCCGTAAACAGGAAGTGCGACATGAGGCGAACTGAGCCGCAAAGAGCTCAGTTAGGAACCCTTATGCGGCATTTGTGTGTTCTCGAGTCTCTTATTTCCCATACGGACCGCTCGACGCTCCGTCTCTGATTACTCGACTCGCGCGTCCCTTTAATTGGGAGATTCGTAAAAATCGCGAAACGACGCCGCCGCCGGCTCTGCTAAATAAACGCCAAGCGCATTATTAACGATCGAGTAATCGCCGTTAAGTAACGTTTACCGCCTGCCTGCCTGCCTGCCTGCCTGCCTGCTCGCTAGAAGGTAACTATTGTTCCATATTTGTCGAAACGAGCCACTCCACTCGAGAAGTGGTATCGTGTCGAGGGTGCGAATTCCCCGCAGATTTTGGCAAGTCCGAAGTGCTCGGTGCGAGCCCTCGGCTTTCCTAGATTCGTGCCTGCCTTTCTCCCTCTTCTCTCTCTCTCTCTCTCTCTCTCTCTCTCTCCCTCCCTCTCTCTCTCTCTCTCTCTCTCTCTCTCTCTCAATATCTATCTCTCTCTGCCTCGCCGAACATCGAACCCCTCTGGGATAGGGGGCGGCATCCTACTGGGTCGAGGGTGATACTCCGGCAAATATATACGGGGAATAAACCCCCAGCGGCGGCGTGATTCCATCGTGCACCCCCGGCACTCACTCGCCGTAATGGCGATTCGATCGATCCTCTCGCCCACCCCCTTTCGTTGGCTCACTCGTTCTCTCTCTCTCTCTCTCTCTCTCTCTCTCTCTCTCTCTCTCTACTCTCTCTCTCTCTACTCTCTCTCGACTCTCTCTCGGCGGCTTTACCTCTTCCTCCCTGTTTCTATTCTCCCCGACGACGAAGAATCTCGACGCGCGAGTATGTTGTAGGTGTGTGGATACCGTTATATAGCACGGGCTAAAATATCTATCGACGATCCCATCGCTTGTGAGACGACGGACGAGGAGCCGGTAGTTCGCGGCGTCGTCGGTAGTGCTGCTGGTGCTGCTGGTTAACGAGGATGTTTCGTCGCGAGCGGAGCGCCTTCCTGATGCCTTGTTCTCTCGTCGGCGCGGCTGAGCGGGGCTGCGAAGGGGTTGACAGAAATTTTCGCGATGCTGATACCGCGCACGGCGAGTCGGAGATAATCGATATCGGAAAGCGATGAAACGGTATTAAAGATGAATCGACCCGCTGTTTATAGGAATCTCGTGCAAATCTGCCGCGAAATAATAGATGAGCAAATTAAGAGCCGCCGCGGGCGGGATAATTCGAGCGGAAACCACAGCGACGACAACGAGAGGACGACCACGATGGCTACATCGCGCGTTTGTTCGATTCACGATCTCGCGACAAAAGTTAGATACCGCGTACGCGGAATAATCGAGCTTCGAAGCGAGTCTCTATTTTCGCTGCACCGATCATTTATTAAAGGTAAACGCGATGTCGGCTTTCTATTTTCGTGCGGTCCGTAATGAAATTAAACGACGGCGAGTGGCGCGTATCATCGGTAGCCAAATCATCGGAGAAATCGTACGGTTCCTCGATGGGAAGTCAATGGACGTAGAAGAGGAAGATGGAAAGACAGGCAGGAAGAGAGAGAGAGAGAGAGGGAGGGAGAAGCGGAAATCGAGGTAAATCCAACGAATGGCGAGCGATTAGGTTCCCGCTTTCACTCAACGAACACAAGATTGCGCAAGCCACCCCCTGCAGCCCCGCGGATCGCTGCAATCCGTATCCGAGATTGCCGAGATGACCGCGTCGATGGGGATGGAAGCAGCAGTCCGCGGGAAGCTGACTCGAAGAAGGTGGAGGACGTTTCACCCTCTATTAAACTCCCTCGTACAAGGGAAAGGCGGCCGCCGAGATACGCCGCCAGTAAAACGAGCCTCTTCTCGACCTCCACGTTTCTTTTTTCCCACTATTCTACTTCTTATTCTTCTTCTTTTTCGTCTCCTTCTTCTTCTCCGTCTTCTTCTTCTTCGTCTTCTTCTTCTTCTTCTTCTTCTTCTTCTTCTTCTTCTTCTTTGCTCTCCTCCGACCGCGTTCCTCCGATCGGCCCTCGCTGCTGCTACCGCAAGAAAGCGGCCATGTCCTCGACGGTGCCCTATCGATTTCAATAAGCCGCCGAGATAGGCGACCGAGCGGTCGCGAATACACGGCGATTCGCGAGAGCCGAGACAATAAAACGCAGCGCGTATCGCGGCGCGACTCTCGTCGGAGGAATCGCCGACTGATGAGCACTTTAGAAGCAGAGAGGGTGACACGACTGCCAACGTCTTGGCACCTCCAGCTGCATTCGTTGGACACACGCGACACAAACGAGCAAAAAGTTGACGAATTCATTGAGGAATGAGGTGTAGGTGCGCGTTTCCAAGGGTCTGTATGTGTGTGTGTGTGTGTGTGTGTGTGTGTGTGTGTTTCGAGGTGCGCGACGAGGCCCGACAGGAATCGTCAGTGGCCCCGACGCTTCGAGATATAATCAAAGTTCGACCCCCTCATTAATATGCGCAATTTCGACTGCCTCCCACACACCGGGCCGAGCCGGCGCACTGTGTTGCGCAATTATCTACATACACGACGAGCCCGCTCGGCATTTACATACTAAGTGTACCGTTGCGTGCCGGCAGAGAATCGCGCGGATGTATCGACGCGATCGCAATACGCGGACGCAGACGCACACGGCGCGTCAGGGCGAGAGTGATGCAGATGCGACGACGAATGGCGCGCAGGCGAGGGAGTGTAAAAAAGCCTGCCGGACGCGGACGCGCGACAATAACGTGCGCGCTCGGTGTGCCGATCTTCTCTCTCTCTCTCTCTCTCTCTCTCTCTCTCTCTCTCTCTCTCTCTCTCTCTCTCTCTCTCTCTCTCTCTCTCTCTCTCGCGGTCCTTGTCCTTCCTCCGGGACGCGCATCGCGAAAAATCCGCGCCATTGTTTGTTCGCGCTGTCGCTCGCTGCTGGACTATCTGACGATATCGGGAAATCCAGCGGGACTTTTCTGCAGATTCGCAAATCATTGTTGTCGGAGTGCTCGAGTCGAGAGCGCGGCAGAAAGCTAAGTGAAGAGGGCAACGAGATGAGGAGGATTTGTTAACAAGTTACGAGCCGGGGGCGTGGAATCGACGTCTTTGAACGCTTCGGAACGGGTGAGGGCCGGAAACGCTGTGACTCGTTTCTTTGCGAGGCCGTGGTGGTTTTCGTAGATTCTGCTTGACATCTTTCTCATAAGGGGGACAATGTTTTAATGAATAAAAAACACGGATGGATGTATTTGTGTGATCCTATATTTTAAGTGAGAATTTGCATAGTTTTAAGATATCGAGGATTTGTGACAACGAATATATATTTCGTGTATTTTAAGTTTATTTTAAGTTTAGTAAAATTATCCGCTCCTTGACGCCTTGATTTCCTTCAGTCATTCCGAAACGTCGCTAAAGCTCGAGTAATCAAAATTGCGATAAATGTGCGCTCTTCCCCGCGGTGCGCGGATTCGCTGGCTCCCTTTATCGAGCTCCCCCCGTCGGCCTCGGCATCGGATTGGCTAGATGCAATTAATTACGTCTTACGTCTTGCCGGTAAATTAATCGAAGCGCCTTGGAATCGTAGCATCGGTTACCGATGCTAGACCACCACGGCGGTCGTCAGCGTGTCAACGCGAGGAGGTACGAAGGACGTCGTCCCGTCACGACTGCGAGATCATCGCTCGCGCGACGCGCGTAGTTGTAAATTAAAACGGCGGATACGTACAATGAACGGCGCCGGCTCGTAAGTGACGGTTTTATGTATTCCGAGGGATTGTAAACGAAGGCGGATAAAAATCTGCGCGCCCGCGCCGCGCTCCTCATGGCGCGAAAGCTCTCACACGCAGTACAGGTTACAGTAGATTACGCGAGTGAATGACGTTATCTACCATCGTAAAAATTCTTCGACACGCTCTTATCGTTTTTCCCTCCCTCTCCCTCTCTTCCTCCCCGCCTGTGGATGCTGAAGCGGAACCGTGAGCGCGGCGTGAACGCTCTCTCGGGGAATTCAGCTTACTTGGGTTTCTAACGCACAATTTGCGCCGACGAAACGCCAACGTATCGAACGTATCTTGATTATCGCGCGTGAGTTACAATCGTCAATCGGCGCGAGTGACCCGCGCGTAAAAATTCTCTACATCTCCCCATATCTCGAGCTTTAATCCGCAGTTAACGTCGAGCGGATAGGCGAGCGAACACACCTCGTGATCGGTCAATCGGCGCGAGCGGCCCTTCGAGCCGCTCGCGCCGGTAATCGCCGATATATCGACGTCGGGCGTATCGGTTACGGCAAATTGATTCGTAATTTGGCGCGTAATGACGAAATAAATCGCCGGTTATCGCGTCGCGCGATTTTTATTCAGATTGTGCGTGGGGGGGGGGACTAACGTCGATTTGGAAACGCGACACACGATTGCACGCGCGGATTGCGCAGAAAGGAGAACGCCGGCTTGGCGAAGCATGTATTATATGCGAATCGCGAAATTGGCGGCCAGGATGGGAGCGGGACGGGAGGGGGAGGAGGAGGAGGAGGAGGAAGAAGAGGAGGATCGTCGAATATCTACGGCGAGTAATAACGATGTGAAAGGGTGCATAGAGGAGCGCGTAATACTAGACACTGGCAGCACTCGAGCGACTCATTAGAGGCTTTGCATATGGTGGCGTCAACCTCGAAAGGTTAACCAATATTGGCAGAACGCGCGTAATTACGTCCTCCAACCTCGTATAACCGTGTATATATAGCTCCAATAGTTACGCCCGGGTTCGGATGTGCAAACGTTTCCTACCGACCGACCGACCAGCCAATCTACGTATCTCTCTCTCTCTCTCTCTCTCTCCCCCTCTCTCTATTTCTCCTCTCCTCTCTCTTCCCCCTCACTCTTCTTCCTCCTCGCCCTCTCTCTCTCTCTCTCTATCTCTCTATCTCTCTATCTCTCTCTCTCTCTCTATCTCTCTCTCTCTCTCTCTCTTTCTCTCTCTCTCTCTCTCTCTCTCTCTCTATCTATCCCTCTGTTTCTCGTACAAGCACGTACATATAGCTTACGACCGCGTCTGCTCCATAGTGCCGCCGACAAGATCCGCCCCCTGCACTCGCGATCCTTGCGTTCTACGATGGGCCGATATGCTGTCTGCGTCTAATCATCGATTTCGCAGCTCCGAGGACGGGGGACTAGACATCCGCAAGGATGCAGGCGCTATTTCGACGATCGGTCGGCGATGTGGAGCTTCGATGTGTGCGTATTTGCTTGCGATATTTTTGTAATGTCGATTCGAAGGTGCGGTTGCTTCTCGTTTGCATCGGGGAGGGGGGAGGGGAGGGGGGCTGTCGGACGATCTCGAACAACATCTCACGGACTTCTACAAAGACACGTTCGATTCCGCACGATTAATCAAAGCGTGAGACTTTGTCGGAATGATCCACCGCGCTCGTGGATAATCTTTTTGCTCTGTCGCTGGATAAAACGCGACTTGCGCGTATGCCCTATACGTCGACGCGTCGGGTATTTTTGCGGAATCGCACCGGTTTCAGGCGTCTTTCTCCCGCACGATTATCAGAGAAAGAGAGCAAAAGAGAGGAGGAGGGGGGAGGGGCAGAGGGAGGAAATAAGTAACCAGTTACGGAAAATCAAAGACTGATCTGACCAGCTGAGGAAAAAGACCGAGCGTTTCTATAATCCCAACATAGTCAATGACTGTAAGCGCTCGTCGTCGCGGAAAAAGCAGTATTTCCCGATCGGGCGGAAATTAAGTTAGTAGCAGCACGCATTCGCTGACACGGTGTGTCCCATCTTCCAGCGGGTGGAAAAAAAGCGGCGACGCGACGTCCGGTCCCCTCGGTAACCTCGAGCGCGGACGAGCTCTCGTTCGGGATTGATCTGTAAAAGTTCTCGGTCCGCGAATGGCGGCGCAAAGAAGAAGTTTCGCGACGCGTCGCGTTAAATGCGTCGTTATCGATGACCACCGCCGATGGTGTGTCCGCGCTGGCGTCTCTATTGACGATTTAAATATTTGCGCCGCGTATTACACCTTATCGCGCGCGGAGAACAAGGAGGAATACGCTCTCTCCATCCATCATTCAATAACAACCAACAGGACGTTGAGGCTCGACGACGACGCGAACGGAGGAAAAACGGAAAGAGGAAACTCCATCAATTTGCGCAAAGGCAGAAAAAAAAGAGAAAGACACCCCCGGCCGCCCCAAGTGCCCCCAAAGGAACCCTTTCGCGGGGGCCCCGGTAACGACGTATTTCTCATTTCCTGTAATCAGAGCGTTCGCGTCGGAGCGTCCCAATCGAGCCGCTTCAATTTACACCCTCCACCCTCGCGCGCGCGCGCGCATACGACCATCCACCCTTCCTTGTGTCGCCGTACAACAGCCCGCAACTTTCAACGCCGCCGCCGGTAAAACAATAGCGGCCCGACGGCGTCGAAAGTGACGGGCACGTAACCCGTTAAGGGAAGAGAGCGACGACCGGCTGAAGAGACGAGAGGGAGAGGAGAGAATGGGAGAAGGCCGTCGTATTATTAAGCAAGTAAATTAATAGAGGCTTGTCCGGGAGTGGCGAGAGTATGAGACACGGAGAGAAAGAGAAGAACACACAGAGACAGAGACAGACAGAGAGAAAGAGAGGAAGAGAGAGAGAGCGAGCGAGCGAGAGAGAGAGAGAGAGAGAGAGAGAGGGGTTGGGAGAGAAAGCGGAGAGTAAGGGCGCTGAATTCCACGATAAACAATGCCTACCGTCGGAGTTTCTCTGGTAGGCGCCGCCGCCGTCGCCGTCGAGCACATGCAAGCTATATACCCCGAAGGGGTGGCTCCGAAGAGAGAGGAAAAGCCTCCCGTTGCGTGAGTCACAGCGAACGCGCTCCTGCCTATGCGTGAACGTGAAGCATGAATGTACGCGTGTGTATTTGTGCGCGCGCGAATGTGTGTGGTACGTGTGCGAGTGTGTGTATATATATATGTGTTCGCCAGGCGGACACGAGGGTTGCTAAGCGAAGCAAGTAAAGCACCTGTGGGAGCCGACTCGTTCGGAGGATACGGAGGTGGCCGGGGAAGTAGTCGAAAGGGAGTAGACAGACGCGGGGAGTGCGAGGAGAACAGGCGGGAGGGATGGGCGGCGACGGGCGGGGGCGGTGAAGGAGAGGACAGAGACGAGACGGACAGAGAGAGAGAGAGAGAGAGAGAGAAAGAGAGAGGGATTTACAGTTAGAGAGAGAAAAAGACGGAGATGCAGGATAGAGCGAGAGGTGAACGCGGCGGAGTCGAGAGTAGAGCAGAGCAGAGCAGAGCAGAGCAGAGCAGAGCAGAGCAAAGCAGAGCAGAGCAGAGCAGAACAGAGCAGAGCAGAGGAGAGGCTTGGCGAACGGGCGAGCCAACCCCGGGGAGGAAGCCAATCAATAAACTCACTCACTCGCTCTCCTACGGAGAGAGACCTACTGCTCTCCCTACGCTCGCGATGTGGCGATACGTGTGTTGCGCGCGCGCGTATGTGGGGTGTATAGGTGCGCACGTGTGCATGTTATATGTGTGTGTGTGTGTGTGTGTGTGTGTGTGTGTGCACGTGCATATACGTCCAACCTGGAAGCCTCCATTATATACGCCCACTCGGCTGCCTACAGCCATTTTGTAGCCGTCCGCCGTGTTTGGCCCAACTCGAGCGAGCCGGCGAACCTTCAACCCCCTCGAACTCGACAGAATTTGAAAATCGCGACAACCGCCGAATGACCAAATGCCCGATTCGTAATCGATGACGATTATCGGCTCTATTCTCGAAATCGCACGTGTTCTTCTATGCCGCGGACTTGATGTACCTCTTTGTCCGCTGCTCTCGCGATATTTAAGGATATCGAATGATCAAGTTGCAAGTAAAGAGACAAGCATTTCAAGTGACAAACGCGTCGTATTTGAAAAATGACGAATTATCCCCAGAACTGCTGAGAGACTTCGATCGATCATGAAGAATAGCGTCGCGACTTGTCTCTTTTTCCGTCTTTCTTTATCGACGTGACGCTACCGGTGTAATTTCAACGGGCTGTGCTCTTCGACAAGCGGCACGCACCTTTCCAGGTGCGCGAACAAGGGAGAGGTATTAGGAAGGGAGAGATATTACGAATTCACGATAACGATAACCGTCGTCGTCGCAGAAACGGTTCTGGCAGAGTGTACCACCATGGCGAGTACGGGATCGTGAGTCTTGTTTTAATGGTAGCACCGAGGGGGATAGGTAGCGCAGACCGCCGCCAAGGGGAAAGGCGGTGACTCGCTCTCTCTCTCTCTCTCTCTCTCTCTCTCTCTCTGTGTTTCTCTCTCTCTCTCTCTCTCTCTCTCTCTCTCCCTCTTTCCGTGGTGGTTTAATCTAATGGAGCCGAGAGACCATGAAACCTGGCGATAAACTTACCCGTAGGCGGCCAGGGCTGAATCGTAAGAGTAGTAACCGGGGGGTGTAGGTTGAAGGGCGGCCGTGCCCCAGGCAGCACCCATGTCCGGCGTCATGCCCATCCCCGTCGCGTCCTTCAGCCCGTACGGATTACCCTGTAAGAGTACCGTGTATGATAAGCGTTAATTTATTTCGCACATTGTCGCGTCACGCACGCATAAATTCTCTCGGAGGCTACTAGAGCGCGCGGCGAAGGTGCGCGAGCGGATTCTCCGAATTTCAAGGTGCGACGCGTCACTTGGACGTGATGAGCGAGACGCTTAGCAGAAAGTCACCAAAGCAAGTTACAATGGTGCTAATCGTTCACGGAGTCAATCCGAGGGCCAACCCTGGGCTCACCCCCGGCGACTCGGTCGGGCGATATTGACGACAATCCGTCAAGGTCCCGCCGACGGAACGACCGGAACGACAATGAATCTCGTCGTATCGTATAAATATTTGTTTGACCTAAACAGCGAGCGGTTTGTAACCCTAAGAAGATTATACGCGCGCGATAAATGCCCCTGAAAGAAGCCTTTCAAGCGTCCTTTGCTCTCGTCTCGGGTTATCCCGCGGCGGACTGGGCAAGAGAAAGAGAGAGAGAGAGAGACAGAGAGAGAGAGAGAGAGAGAGAGAGAGAGAGAGAGAGAGAGAGAGAGAGAGAGAGAGAGACAGAGAGAGAGAGAAAGACAGAGAGAGAGAGAGAGAGAGGGGGGGGGGGAAAGAAGTCGCGAGTGAACCAGAGGCATCTCTAAAACATTGTCACGGACAGATATCAGTTGGTCGATATATTAATACGTCGTGACGCGGCGTCGTCAAGAGACGCGTCATAAAGGCGCACCGTAAGAGAGAAGTAGCGGAAGTGCGGGAGGGACGACACCGGAGAGAGAAAGAGAGAAAAGGTGGAAGAGCGGAGAAACTGGTGGGAGAAGGAGGAGGAGGAGGGCAGGTGAGAGGAGGAAAGAAACGCGGCAGCGGCGGCAAGTTGTGTGGCTAATGGTAGCACAATGGGGGATATTATTAGTGCAACGGCTTAGAAGTGGCCTCTGGCGCCACTTCTCTGGAGTTTCGTGTTACAACTACTAGTCGTCGTCGTCGTCATCGTCGTCGTGGTCTACGTCGTCGTCTTCGTCATCGGCGTCGTCATCGGCTACAGCGTCCTTGTAGCCTGATTCTTAATTCCCCGCTCGGCTACCCTTCGTTTCAATTTTCGATGGCCCTTACGAGTGTCCTTGGCCTCCCTCCCTCCCTTTCCTCTCCCCCCCCTCTCCCTCTCCCTCCCTCTCTCTCTCTCTCTCTATCTCTTTCTCCTTCGCTTCGTCGCGGCCTTTAGTCTCACTCTGCCGTGGGTCTCTCCCTCTGGGGGACGCGCACCGGCGCGCACGTATCTTCGTCTTTATTTCTCTTCTTTTCAGAAGCGGCTTTAATGGCGAACTGCGGGTGGTCCGACGTCGACGCCTCGGACTATTGTTACGACTCTCGCATACACGCAGGGTCGCATACACACCGGTCAGTATAACCGATTATACGAGCTCGCCTGCATTAAGGTAGCAATAATCGCGGGCGCGCGCCCGTCCGAAATCTTGCGCATGCGGCGCGCATTAGGGAGCGCGACAGCGAGGTGGCACTAACTTGACACTCCAGGCCTCGGCGCGGTCCATCAAGCTAATGCAATAGCACCTCTAACGACTATAATTATCCCAATACAGGCCGCACCAAAAGCCCGAGGATACGCTCGTTCTACGATCCTAGCTGTCATGTCGCGATTTCACGCATGTACGCGTTCTTTACGATGCAACAGCAAACGCGATTTTAACGCAGCGTTTATTTAAGACGTACGTTACACCCTCAAGCGGTCCTATCAGGACTGTCCTATCAGCAAGCGTTAAAGGCCTCATTATATTCCTGCTAATAAAAGAGCAGTGCTTAAAATTTTCTCGGATTTTTTACGAGCGAACACGGGTAAGGGTCTTACTGATCTCTCTCTCTCTCTCTCTCTCTCTCTCTCTCTCTCTCTCTCTCTCTCTCTCTCTCTCTCTCTCCGTGCATTATGTATTGATGCGAAACCGTGAAACAAGAAAAAGGAAAAGAAAAAAAGACGGAGGATTAGTGGTCAAGCGTTTCACTTGGTTTCTCGTCCGACGTAGAAAGATGTGTACGTCCGTGCTAGGTAATTGAGACAGATTCGCACGCGTGAGGTTAATAGAAATTCGCTATTTCATGGTCTCTAGTAGTTTAAGAGAAGGGGACCACTTCTGTGTAAGGAGTCGAAAGAGTCGTAAAAGTCCGACTGTTATTGGCTCGCATTTTCGACAAGCTCTCGCCCCGTCAGCCGCCCTATTCAAAATGCTAATCCGATTCTTATTATATTATAATGCTCCTCGCGGCCCGTCGATTCGAATCGTCGTCGGGAAGCACGTGCTTCCCGCTTTAACGATCCGGCGTGAAAGAGACCGGGAGAAAGGGAGAAAGTAACGGGGACGAGGAGGACAGAGATTAATTGAAAAAGCGCAGAGAAATAAAAAAGAGCAGGACTATATGATAATTGGATTACTATAACACGAGAGAGAGAGAGAGAGAGAGAGAGAGAGAGAGAGAGAGAGAGAGAGAGACATTTCGCCCGGTCTTTCAATTATGTAGTGAACTTCGTTAACATTTATGCTTGTACAGCATTTATTTTTGTTAGAGTTACACGCGACAGGTATAAATTCTCAATGTCTCCATCGCCTCTCGTTCAGCGACAGCAGCGCGCTCTCTCTCTCTCTCTCTCTCTCTCTCTCGGCGGCGCGCAATTATATTTAGAATTGCGAGCGACATTCGGAAAAGAGCGTCAATCCCGGCGACTGTCCGTTTTCATTTCGTTACTAATTAATCAATATCAGCGCGCATACCACATTTTCCTAACCGTCGCCGGCGCGACGAGTCGGCGTCTCGCTTGAATTATATTGCGTCACGATGTATAACGCAAACGCATGTTAACAAGATGACCGACAGCCTGTCGCGCCGCAAGAAGCGCGATCGCACGTGCGCGCACACGTATTACACATCGTCATTACTTTTCTTGTCTAATCGCGAGCGAAATAACGCGATTCGAATTGTTACGTCGCGCGCGTCGCTCGTGGCTATATATTGTTTTACGGAATTTTTATTACGCAATGCGCCGCGATGATACAAGATATTTCGATGGCGTTACGTGACGCGATAGAACGTTGTTATTGTCTCTTTGTTTCTTCCTCCGTATCTCGCGTATTACGAAAGAAAAATCACGAACCGTGAGATTTGCACAATCTCGTTAATCCCCGGCGTACTGCGCGCTATAATTGCGAGACACGAGTTTTGCTGCATTGAAGATTGAAGAAGCAAAGAGCGAGCTTTTTCCTTGTTTTCTCGGAGAACCCCGACGAGTATCTTCAGGTATCAGTCCTCACGAATAATCAAGTCCAACGAACTCTGAGCGAAGGTCAGGCGGATATTTCCCAAATATTCCGATGTTTCTCTAATTTCATGTCGCTGAAATCGTCTCTTGGAACGGCGCACCCGATATGCTCGCGAATAGCGGCTCTGGCGTCTTCTGGCAAGAAGACGCAACACACGTGACCTTCGTCGTTTAGCTCGCGAGGGAGGTGGTCCTAGAGCGACACGAGCAAAAGCGGCAGGGGAAGCGTCGAAAGGCCGATGCGCCCTCGTCAAAATGCTGAAAGTTCCCGAGGCGAATGAACGTTCGTGGCATTCCGGGCTACATTGTCGTATGGCCGGGACCCGCTGATCGTCGCGTGCGCCAAATTGCGCCACGGCGTTGAAATTCCACGAAGGATTGACCGCGTCGGCCGCGGCCGGGAGGCCTGCAATTTATGCCGATAAAGGTGCGAAACTATGACGCGCGCGACGCAAACGTCCCGCGCGACAAATGGCATTCCTGGCCCTCTCGCTCTCTCGGTCGCCAACAGGGACCCGAAGCGATACCACCGCGACCGCGAGGGGGTGAATCGCGCGCGCGCGCGCGACCGACGAGGGCCGTCGGACACGGCGTCCGTCGTGCAGCCGCGCGCGCGGCCCTTATCGTGCGCATCCACGCTCATCAGTCTCAATTACATCGGAACTCGCCGGCTGGGACGGCTCTCCGGAGCCGTCCGGTGCTGGTCCGGTGCGTAATAAAAACAGCGACATCCCCGCGAGCACGGTGATTAGCCACGCGGATTCGGTCCGTGGAAATTCACGTTTCACCTCGAATACCTTGAGCCCGGCTGACGCGTTGAAATGACATCGGCGAGGGACGAAAATTCGTGTATCGGTCAAGATCGCGAGTACACACGAGCCGGGAAAATGGGGGAAAGAGACGAATCGCCGGCGCGATGGAGCTGACGCACGAGCTCGAGCGGAATTCCCGACGCGTCGTTCCCGCGGATTCGCAACGATATCGCATGCGTCGTGCGGCCGTGCGCGCGCTTAATTGCCAATTATGAGCGTAACAATCTGCAATTAAGAAAAGCATGCGTGTTATGCTTATCAATGATTCATAAAATAAGCCAACGCGCTCGTCTATCGGTATCGTCTATCCGAGCGCCGCGACTCTTGTATATATGCGATAGACATGCATTAATATTTCTCTCCGCTGAGCTCACAGGTAGAGGGAGACGAAGCAGAGAACGGAGGATGGAGCGAGAGTAAGAGGGAAATATTCCTATATTGACACCGATATTGATAGATGGCTGTTCGTCGTCTTGCGCGAGACACGCGCGCGGTATCACTCGGCGTCGCGCTAATGTCGCGAAATGTCGAGCATCCTCGTCGCCGAGCCAAATCGCTTGAAATCTCGCCAGAATGCGAACTCTGCGACAAGATGTGCTATCGTCGGGGGCGTAATCGCCGATCGATTTCCGTCATCTGCGGTGTTTCGCGTGTAGAGACCAACAGATCTCGTTCACGAAAATACACTCGTCGAATTTCTCTCTCCCCCCTCTCTCTCTCTCTCTCTCTCTCTCTGCCTCTTAAACCGCCACGTGCGTGTGTGGTATGCCCTTCCATCAAGCTGACATCTCGCAAACTCTTGTCGCGATAAATCCCGGCTCGAAGCATGGCGGCACACATTGTGACAATGGACGAGTGAGCCGATAGAGCGCAAAAAGCCCCGAGAGGGCTGCTCGCGAGCGCGACGGCATTCCTGAGGAAAATGTCGCGGCCTCTCGCGCAAATCTCGGAATCCGTTATATCGCGGTACCATCCTCGTCCTCGTCGTCGTCGTCGTCGTCGTCGTCGTGAAATAAAACAAATCCGCCGGCTGATGAGAAGAGGTTTCCGTCCACCACCCCCCAACTCGCGCGCAGTTACGTTACTTCCATCCCTCCTCGCGTTCGCGCACTCCCGCTGCAGCGACTCCCCGGTTCCTGTTTCACGACGGCATCCAGTAGTCGTCCTGTATTGATTCTATAAACTCGTTCGCGTTCTACGCCAGAGAGAGCGATGAACATTCTCCGCTTCCCGCGCGCTCCCGCGCTCCTCCTCGTCTCTCTTCAGCGTCTCTCCTGCGCCAGCAGGGCCGCCTCGTGTCTCTCGGCGAGCCGCTCTCGCGAAGAGGACGATCCCGCTCCTCGTCGTGCATGCACGACCAGCCGTTTATTTGCACCTTGCACCGAGAGACTTACTTTGTATATTATGCGATTCGCGCGAAACTTGTTCTCACCTTGAAACTTCTCTCGCGGGAAGGAACGTGTTTTTGCATACACGCGTGTCAAAACCGTTCTCGCGCGCTCGCAGCCGATTGACGGCAAAAAGATTGATATGTATACGCACTGATTCGCAAGATACACATCGTAATTAATTATACATCTGCCGTTCCGATCTCACAGCGCGCGACGTGTGTTTTCTCCGATCTGACTGTCATTGCCGGCTCGCCTGCCGACTCGCCGGGTATTAAGCACCGCCGACCGCGAGAGCCGACGGTATTAATATCGACAGCCTCTCACGCCGGTTCTGCCTTGTTCGCGACAAACACTCGCCCCGTCGTTCCCCGTTAATGATAGATCCACGCGAGCTATTTGTGAGAGGTGAGAGAAAGAGACAGAGACAGAGACAGAGAGAGAGAGAGAGAGAGAGAGAAAGAGAGAGAGAGAGAGAGAGAGAGAGAGAGATGGCGAGATAGCAAACACGCGCGTATATGCAATCTCCGCGAGACGTGCTTTAATTAACTGCATTAACCGCGTGATATTATTAGCATGTGAAACTGACTGTGAAATGACGGGAAATTTTATTGAGTATTAAATCTGCATTCCCGACATCCAGCGGCTCAAAGTCTCCCGGATCGTAAATCGCCGCGATATATCTCTTTATTTCTTTCTCTCCTTCTCTGTCTCTCTCGCTCTCTCTCTCTCTCTCTCTCTCTCTCTCTCTCTCTCTCTCTCTCTCTCCCTCCCTCCCTCTCTCTCTCCCTCTCTGTCTCATCCGCAGCGGTCCGGGCTAATTTGTAGAATGCGAACGTAACATATATCGGACGTCCTTCGTATTGACGTGCCGGTGTCGCGGCGATAACGCGCGTTACTCTCGTCATTATTCCACCAATCGCGCTTTCTATTTAAAAATTGAACGGCGAAACAACGCTTTTCACTTGCCACGAATTGAACAGATATTCCTCGGAGTCAGTCGCGCGCACGCGCGAGTTCTCAGACGCTTGGCGCGGAGAGAGAGAGAGAGAGAGAGAGAGAGAGAGAGAGAGAGAGAGAGAAGGTAAAATCACGAGACGAATCGCGATTTACGGGCGCGCGCACGTCGCCGTGATAAGAGCAGCTCGTTAATCGACCTTTATCGAGAGCCAGAGCGCGCTGATTACGCGGTGACATCAAAAAGCCGCGGACACTTCCGATGCGTGCAAACAGCGCGACTCGCGAAAATGAAAATGTGCTGTAGAGATAACGGAACGCGCGCACGCGCGCGTTATCTCTGATACGGGACAATGCGTCTTGTCTTATCCTAGAGAATTGCGGATCGATTACGGCGGAGTACGGTGTGTGCCGAAGCGTGACTGCGAGGAACTGTATCGTTCGGAAATCAATCCACTGTAATTCATGCGAAATTCCACGCAAAAGCGCCGCCAAAGGCTGCCGCTTCTTTCCGGAATTCCGTAACGGCGGGCAGCCGCCCGTCGGCAAAATCCTAATTATTCGCCCGCGCTAATTAATTCGTCGCGGTGAACGATCATCGCCGGGCACGCTCGCTCGCTCCACGGTTGAAAAAGTCGCGGCCGCGAAATTGCGCCGACTAGTTACGTATGACAAACGAGGCGGCGACTCCGTGCGGAGCGCGCGCGCTCGGCCGTCGTCAGCGTTCGTTGACTTTCACTCGAGGGATAATCCGCGCGTGCAGCAAATCGCTCGCGAGGAGGAGACGGGACGCGGATCCTCGCGCGATCGAAGAGAAACAACACGAGCGCGCGATATTCCCGATTCGCGAGTGTGTCCTCTCGTCGTCGACCACGCCTCGTGTGCGACGATCCCCTTTTTGCGGACTCCGACTTTCCTCTCCATCGCGACACTCACTGTTCTCGTCTCTTGTCTCGGCCGTTGGCCGTGCGCAGGATAGATCAACGGTCGACCAAAAACAACCCGAAAGCAGCCAATTAGTATAATCGCCCGATAAATTCAAACTTAATTGGCCGCTACTTCCGTTCGTCCGTCCGTCCGCCCGTCCATGCGTCCGTGTGCGTCCGTTCGTCCCACGAAGCCATCGCGAATGTTCCCATCAACGCGCGCGTGCGCACACGCGCTTAATTATATGCGTCTCTGTCCGTCCTTCTCTTTTGCTCGACATATTAGGCACCGTCGAAAAATTCCTGCACAATGAACGGAGATGTAATCACCGTCGTCCTCACCGCTCCTCCATACATATTCAGAACTGGTGCTTCGCGTTCGCGCGTGGTAGTCAGCGAGAGGTGTCAGCTTCAAGTCGGAGGCAATCCAGTAGCGGAAAGAAACGGCGTAGCTACACGATATAAAGTCACGAGTCGAACTCCGCGTGCGAAGCTGCCTGAACGTGAACTCGTCGTCCAAGGATTCTTGGGTCTCTCCGCGACAAGCGTCGGACTGACGAGCGCTCATGGTCGCTCGCTCGTAGGAGGATTCTTCGGTGACATATGCGCGCGAATTCGTCACGAGGCAACCCTTCGAGAGAAAACAGAGGAAGAGAGAGAGAGAGAGAGAGAGAGAGAGAGAGACGTAACGAGCGTAGCACGCCTTCCACGAACCGAAACTTAAACGAGCTTATCGGCCGCTTCTCGAGAAGGAGAGACGCGTGAATAATTTGGCGCAGCCGGTACCAGCCTACGAGCGACACGAGAGAGGAAAAGAGAGAGAGAGAGAGCGAGAGAGAGAGAGAGAGAGAGAGACGCAAATTCCCGAGCGGAGGAGCGAATTGGGGGGGCGGGTGATCGAGGGGATCCGCGCGATCCCCGACGTCCGAGAGGGTTCCGTCGCCGAGATTCCGAGCTAATTCGCGGCAACACCACGTGCTAATCCGTCTTAAGTTAATACTGGAGGCGCAATAATCGCCCGGCACGCCTAGCACGACGAACCGATCAATCTGCATCCGGCAACGGCCGCTTTTACACGTTGCGTTGGTCGTCGCTCGCGAGTCGCTCATGACGCGGTCTGACGCAACGAATCGCGCGAGCTCTTTGATGGCTCTGAGAATACAGCAGGAATGAAATAAAGGAGAAGAGAAGAGAAGGCCCATTAGTTTCGTATTCTGCGAACGAGCGCGCTTGCAAGTGCGCGCGGCGCGTGTAGTTGTTAATTTTTAGCTATCAAGCGTGCCACTCGTTTGAAGAAAAACACGAAAGGGCTCAAACACGAAGTAAACACGAAAGTCAGAATTGGGTGTGACGGATCCCCCCCTTCCCGCCTCCCCCGACGGCGCAACAGAGATTAATCAAACTGACGGGAGGCTTTTCGCCGCTACTCGCTGACGATTAAAACCCATCGTTCGCAACACGCGAACCCACATATGAAAGTAGATCTTACCAGTGGCGAGTAGAACGCAGAGCTGTCCATACCGATGCTGGGGTAAGGCCCTTGGTCGGTGGTTGACGGCGTCGGCGTGGGATAGGACGAGTAGGAGGCCGCGGCCGGCCCTAGCCTGGCCACGCTTGGATACGCACCCAGCGCTAATCTCGCCGCGCTATCATACTGACAGCTGCACACCGTTTGCCCCGTCACAGGGTCCGTCATCATGGGCCTTCCGTTCTCGCAGCAACCGGGCCCGGTGGTGCCGCCCACGGGGGTCGTGGCGCCACCGGTGCCCGCAGGTCCCACCCCCGTCGTCGTGGTCGCCGTCGAGGAGGGTGAAAGGGCGCCCGGGCTCAGAGCACCCCCTGATGACATCGCCGGCGACGTCGCCGTGGTCGGCTGTCCGCCGCTCACTAGGAGCTGAAATCAGAAAGCCGCAACAAAGTCGATTTAGGAATATGGCGTGTGTGGATTCTACGAAAAAGTCCATCTGCGCGCGCGTGCGAGAGAGAGAGAGAGAGAGAGAGAGAGAGAGAGACTCGGGGAAAGATCGCGCCGCTTTCGCGGCTTTCGGCCGCCCCAGCTTCCCCAGCCCCAGTCGAGGCAACCGGGAAGAAGAGAGCTTTCGCCAACTTCCTCCGTAAATCGGACACTACTGATTGCTTCGCAGCGACGTCGTTCCGCCGGCGTGTAGCACCACGGACGCGACTGGCACTTGCGCGCGTCGTTAGCACCCTCCTCCTTAGCGCGCCTTTTCTCATTCTACATTGTTTTATGCTTCTTCAACATAGATACATACGAATGACCGATGCACTGACGCGTATGCATACGGCGTATCATCGCACGATAAGAACATACATATGTACCGCGGAGTGGATGGTACATGCAACGGGAAATGTTAACTATCTGTTTCTGCGTATACAGCCGTCCGCGCCCGCACTTTTGTTTTTAGCCGCATCGCATCGCATCGCATCGCCTCGTCGAGCTAAAAATATAATATTCACCAAGTAGATTACTCGCGCGCGACAAAGTGGATCGCGCGCGCACGCGCGCGTATGTTCGCCGCGACGAGGATCCTCCGCGGGAGGATCCACCTCCCGCCGGCTGGCCGCGGCATCGCGATTCTCACGATCGCGCGCGACGCTCCGAAAACGGAGATGCTCGTTTCTCTTTTATCTTCGCGGACAAACACGCGGGACACGCATCTCGCGCGATCTCCGCTGGAGGTATTCGGCTTTATCGGCTGCAATCTCGGCGAATAACGCGGTGCGTTTATTTGGCGCCCCCCCCCCCCCCCTCGCGATTAATAGCCGCGTAAAGCCCGTGTAAACAGAAAGGCGTCGCTCCCTCTCTCTCGCGTGCTCGCATGCGCGCGCGAGGGGTCGCCTCGCGCTAAATTAGCCCATTGTAAATGAGGACGGAATGAATCCCGGTAATTAATATGGCAAGGGCGCGGAGTTATTTCGAGAGGACGAGGAGGAGGCGCTCTCGAGAGAGCGGCGGGACGCGCGCTTCTCGCGGCCGCTTGTATATCCGCGTTGATAAAAGAAAAAGGAAAAAGAGAAAAAGAAGAGCCGCTTCTCCGAGCTCTCCCGCATTCCGTTACATCTTCAGATGAGAGAGAAAGACAGAGAGGCCGCGAAAGCAGAAAACGACGACGCTCGCTCGCGCATACGCACGCCTTTCTATTCGTAGACCGTGTCGAAATCACCCACGAAAACGCCCACAGCGGTGGCGCGCGCGTGACGAATAGGATCGACGAGAACTTTATTTCCGCGAACGATTCTCCCCCGCGATTCTTTGTGCGCGCGCGTCCGCCTTCTTTTTTATTCCTCTGCTTCATCCTCTTGCTCCTCTCCTTCTTCTTCTTCTCCGCTCTCGTGAATTATTAAAGGCCCCGGCGCTCTGGCGCACCGCCGCTTATCAATTTCAACGTCGGGCAACGCGCGCGCACTACAAAAATACGGCAACTCGCGCGGCTTTACAACGCGGCGATGTCTCTGCCGCGAGCTCCCGCTGTTCGCGAGAGTTCGCCGTTCACGTCTCGCGCGACAAAACCGTCTTCCGGTCGTCAAGCGCCGTAGAAAATGATTTACCTCGATACCGCCTAACTGAAAGCGCGCTGACTTACAGAAGACCGAACGGTTTCTTCCTTTGGACCGAACTTTTTCAGAATATCAAGCCGAGTCTACGCTGCGTGATAGCGTCGAAGAAGGCTTCTGATCATCCCGCTTAGTCCGCGCGCGATTTAACTTTAGATTAATCCACTTCCAATTAATCTTGAATCGTTCTCAATTGTAGTTCTGACTTCAAATGTCTGTCCCGTATGAAATGTTTAGAGAGTCGTCCGTTTTTCTCAGAAACTTAAAATATGTTAGTTATCTGCGGAAGATTCTGTCGGCACCCCGCGAGACACCTCGCTGATCGAACTCTCTCTCTCTCTCTCTCTCTCTCTCGTCTCAGTTCGTCCGCGAGTCTCATACATATCGCTTCGACGGGAGATCACGTCAGCTGAGCTACCGCACTTCCGGCTCGCGCCGTTTACCGCAACCACCGCCGCTCATCGATTTCCCCCGCGTATACGCGTCGTCAATATACGCGCTCGTGTATTTTCACAAGAAATATCTGTCGGGGCCTCGATTCGCGCGCGGTTGCAAAAATAGAAGGGGGAGCAGCAGGACGACGCGTCGCGCCGCGCATCGCCGGGCGGGATTCGCCGCTCCGTAGGAACGAGGTAAACCCAACTTTCGTGAACAAAGACCCCGGCTCCTCGTGGTCGAGCCGCGTGTAGTGGTGCCAGTGTCGCTGCTGGCGAACTTGAAGGAGAGACGCGCTTACGTGCGCGCGCACGTGTGTCCCCGTTCACGCATAACGACGCATGTATGCGTTCGTACGTGCGTGCGTGCCCGCGTATATGTGCGTACCGTCCCCCTTACTGCCCCCACCCCCTTCCGTTCCCTGTTTCGTAGCCACTCTTTTTCTGCTCCTCCCTCCCTCCCTCCCTCTCTCCTTCCTTCCTTCGCTCTCTCTCCTCCCCCCCTCTCTCTCTCTCTCTCTCTCTCTCTCTCTCTCTCTCTCTCTTTCTACCTCTCACGCCTCTAACGAAACGTTCCGGGCACCTCCAGCGTGTCTGGAGCCATTCACGCCCTGCTGGGTTTCCCACCGGAACCTTTTAAGACCCCACTTTCACCCCCGCGGCAGCCGCCGGCGCGAAAACCCTTCGGATCTCGTCGTCGTCGTCGTCGTCGTCGTAGTCGCAGGAAAAGTCGCCGTGATATGGCCCTCTCTATCCTCTCGCCTCCGTCTCTCGCCTCATGCTCTCCACCATGTCACCGATCGTTCCGCGACGCGCTCGTTGGCGAAGCAACCCCTCGAGGGGCCGTAGAAAGGATCCCGTGCGAATCCTGACACGGATAACGATTCGAATTTTACGTGGGAGCTTGAACCGCGGAGTATGTTTCTGGCTCTTCTTTCTGCTTCTCCGAGTGTTTGGTGACGCATGTACGAACATTAACTAACTTTGTCGGGGCACTTTGCCCTTTTGACAAACATTTGATCCGACGCTTTGCGCTCGGAATTAGGAAATTCCTCGGTTGTTCTGACACTCGTGATTTGCACGACTCGGTATCCTCGATATCGAATATGTCCTGAGAGGTGTCTCGAAGGAGAGAGAGAGAGAGAGAGAAGAAAAAAGAAGAGAAGAAACGCACGGATAGGACGGAAATCCGATTATGCGACGTCATCGTCTGGAAAATAGCGGGCATTATTGGTACGATTTCTTCATATGAAACGCATCGGCGCCGTCGCGCTTGGCCGCGATCTAACATTAATATCCACTCGGTGGAAAGTTAAATCGCCGCTTCGAGCTCTTAAACGACCGGTAATAGCGAATAATCGTTGACGCGTTCAATTTTCCTCAGGGTCTCGCTAGATCGGCTCCGCTAGGTGCATGAAATTGCTTGTAAACGCGTTACGTTTGGAGGTAGCGACAGATAACGAGAGAGAGAGAGAGAGAGAGAGAGAGAGAGAGAGAGAGAAAGAGAAGCAGCGATTATTGACAGCGCCCACAGAACGCGAATTTTATTTTTCATTCCAGCGCGAGATACAAATATATATTTTTTTTCCAGGGGTCGACGTTTCTCTCTCTCTCTCTCTCTCTCTAAATCCATATCGCGCTTCAATCGTCCGTGGCTAAATGGACGCGCGCGGTATGCGCTGCGGTATGCGCGTCTCTATCGCTGCGTGTTATCGCCGCGCGATCGACCGCGCGGTTCCATTACCGCGGAAGAGAGAAAACAGCCGAAACGAGCGTCGATCTGTAAGAGTGAGACGCGTCGCGTCTCGTCTATCGCGGCGATTAATCGCGAGATACACGGCCGGCGGCCAGTGATCCGCCCGGCGGAATCGACAAGATTCGTCACTCCGCCGAGCGGCCAGGCGTTCTCGGTCCGGCGACTTTCACCGTGTACGACTTAAGTAGCGATCTTTGTAGCGACAAACCGACACGACCGACAAACAATAATCTCCGCTGAGCTTTACGGTGTCGCTCTCGCGCACTTTCGCGACAGAATCGCGCGGCGAGAAGCGTGGTGTGTGTGTACCTGATGACTTACACGCGCGCGACGGCCAAAGACGCGTGAGAATTCATCATACTCTCCTCCGACTTTCGTGATGCGCGCGTGATCTTTTTGCGTTTTTTTAAAGCGTTTCTCTCTCGCGCTCGTTCTGTCCGTCGTAAATTCAACTATGCCGCTTTTCTCCGAGCGATACGTGTAATACCTCTCGCCACTACCGTTCGTCCACACTCGTCGTGTGCGTACGGCTGCTGTGTGGACACGCATCAACGCTCACGTGCGCGAACGGGACGAACGGGCGACGGGGAGGGGGAGGGGGAGGGGGAGGGGACGAAAGAAGAACCCGGAGAAGTCAGAGTCCCTTAAGAAGAGATCTCCCGTATGTGTGGCTCTCTCGCTCTGCCTCGCCGTCTCGCTCCCTTTCGTCGAGACCGAGCTTTATAAACAGGATTACAAGTGTCCGAAGGGAACAAAATAGTAGTTAGGGTTAATCACGCGTCATCGATATTATGTACGAAGGAATAATCGAGAGACAGACTTCCCCTCTCGCTCCGCTCAGTTGCTTATACTCGTCCTCGCCGGAGCCATCCGCGAGCCGCGACGTATCCAGCTCGGTAAACACATCGATTCGTCCCCTCCTGCGGACAAATTTATTTGCCTCCTGCGGAATGGCATCTCGGGAGCGGGCAGCTACCGAAACTCGTCGTTTCCATTCGCGGTTTCGAAAAGCGAGAACGTCGCTGAGCAGTCCGGTGCGGACGGAAATGCGGCGGACTGGCAGTCGCCAATTACGTGCGCACGATTTATACTAAAAAGATGGCGATCACAGGGAGGTTGAGGTTGTGT